AGTAAAGTATCTTGCTCAAAGATACAACACAGTGCCGTGACGTGAACCGAACCCGTCAACTCTTCAGTCAAGAGCCTGGCGTCCTACTACTAGACTACCGTGCCCCCAACCCAAGATAAACCCATCTTAAAACTGCTAACCCCAAATAAGGTAACAACTGAAACGGACGGTTTGTATTGTGTTTTAATATCGTAATTGTACATGTAAATAAACAATGTACATGTATCTCCCTTTGTTGTTAAGGTGTTGCCGCGACCTTGGAGCCGCAGGGTTTCGCAACTGCATTCTCCCAGTTGCACGTACCTTCTGCAGAATCGAAAACAAGATCTGTGAAAAAAATAAATAACATTGTTGTGATTTGTTTTCTTATATTATCGTATATATTACACATCAGTTGACTAATTTTTCGTCTGTCACGCGTTACCTTCCTTGATACTGTAAAAATGTATGATATACATAGTTGCAGTGCTATATTTTACTCATGAAACTCTCTAAATAGTCTGAACACGGAATGCATAGTGCAGGCCAAATATGCATGGTGTTATAACGACACTTAGCATAAAAATTGGCGTTATATGGCGATCATATAAATCAATCGTCGTTCCGCTAATCGATCGAAAGAAACAACTCTTTATATATTGATAGGATTTGTCCAGTCAGACTTTGGCATTATAAAGAAGTGTTGGTGATACACTGAGTGAGTCATGTAGTTGTAGACATAGTAGAAAAAAAAATAGTCCTTGAGATACGATTTGGAAAATTGAAGGGAGAGGGCATGTACCCTAGTAATATTTACATTCTGTAACCGCTGTTTACGACAAAAGACAAGATAAAGTATTTCTTTCACTTACAGAAAAAAAGATTATCTTGTAAACACGTTATGCAAACTGAAATAAAGCTTAACGCACTTCTACGTATCGCCGATGAGGCAATCTTTACCCATTATTACATGTAATAGGGGATTTAAAATTAGACACATGCGTTTAGATTTAACACTTAAAGAACATGGAAATGATGTCTCGCATTTATGACGACCACAAATCAAAATTAATTATTTATCATAATACTATCATCATAATATACGGAATTAATACAACGTTAATTCACTCACGTGATGGACAGAAATTGTGGCCAAGGAATTTGCCTGCGTAACACGTGTAAAAGGATCTACAGTGCTCCTCTTCATCCGGGTACCGACCGTCCTTAACACCGAGACAGTCCCTCACCACTCCACAGGGATGCATCACATTGGATGGACTACAAATAGAAAAGTGTGTATATATATATA